TAGATAGTAGTTTTGTTCGGTACTTGTAATCTATATAGTCTAAGAAGCGGGCATTCGTATAGTAGAAGGAAAGGGAAGGGAAAGAATTAGTCGATTAGTAGGAAAGTAGATACGTAGGCGCTAATTTGCGGCTAACTATATATACGGTTACGTATAGACTCGGCTATACGGACGTTAGTTAACTCCGCTTTTAGCGTAGTCAACCGTAGATTTTAGCATAGCTTGTATGTCCTAGAAATTTAGTATACTATTCTTCTAGGCAGGCGCTACCAAACTTTGTAGGTACCGCCCTAATACTAGAAGATAACCTGTTCCGGGTTAAGTAAGCTATAGGCTATAGTAACGATATAGGTTAAGAAGGAGGGTGTTCTTAGCTAGCCGGCCTACCTAATTAGGTCGATAGATTAATACGGGTTAGTACTAATATCAATTGCTAGCTATAGGCCTATATTGCTAGCCTATAGGCCTATATCGCTGTCGCTATATCTACTGCCTATCGCTATCTCTTGCTACTATCTCTATATTAGTTAGAAGTCCTTCTCTTATACTATATCTTACGTATAGCGTCGTCGTCGTCTATCTAGTTATATTAAGAAGCTACTATAGACTCTAAGCCAAGGTTTATAACCCTAGAAGGTCGCTAAGGCGTTGTAAGGTCTACGAAGGACCTTATAGCTATAGCTCTAGGCTCGGTTAAGTCTATCTCTTTAATTGAGTTAAAGTCGATAGGCTGCGCGGACTATATATAAAGGCTAGTAACGCGCCTTTAAGGCTATTAAGGCCTTTGAGGTAATAGTAATAGTAATAGACGTAAAGGTAACGGCGGAAGCTAAGGAAAGTAAAGGCGCGTAGGTAAAGATAGCGGAGCCTAATTAATACGTCGTAGTTGCTATCGCGGCGTACGCGCCGTAGCTAGCGCTATATTAGTAGATTAGAAGGTAGATTAGAAGGTTGTCGACCGAGTTAGAGTCGTTAGTTACGGTAGAAGGCGTAAGGTCTACGGTCGTAGCCGCTTACCTATAAACGTAACTTTAGGAGCTCTAGTCTCGAGGAAGTTAGCTAGTAAGTAGTTAGCTAGGCTATATAGGGTGTCTTTAACCTTGCGTAGGAAGCCGCGTATATATTTATCGCGTACTATTAGATCGACTGTCTTATCGTTACGGATGCGATAAAAGTGCTAAGATAGGCCTTCTATAGCCTCGTTGTAGTAAGCCCTTAAATTACGAAGATATAGGTCTCCTATAGTCTACGGCTTCCGCATGTCTTTATAGCCTTCTAGCTATAATTAATAACTATCTCTCTCTTTTAGAGTCTTTCTAATATAGAGCTATTCGCTAACTGTTTAATCTAGTATATTGCTAGATATATAGCTGCTATTAATTGAGTGTAAAGGGCGTAACGAATAGGTAGAACCTAAGGATATAGTAGTATAGTAGGTACGTTTGAAACTATAGAAGGCAGTTGCAATAGGCCGGTGCCGGTTAGTTACCTCTATATAGTATAAGGCCGTAGTATATTAGAAGTCCTTTTGCCTTACATTCTTTAGCAATTAACAATTGCTTCCTAATATAGTCTTAAGCAGCTAGTAGTTGTAGCTTCTCGAAGAATGGCATCTATTTAATCCTCTAATACTAAGTGCCCTTAGTAGTCCTATATAGTTATAGGTCGGCCTTATAAAGCAGCCGAGCGTCTATCCTTATTAGCTCGACAATAGTGCTATACATAGATAGCTAGACTATTGCCTTCTTATTATCGTATTTAATAGCGTTATAGTATCCTTCTAAAGGCGAAGTTGTCCGGATCTATATAAGTAGAGGGTTTTCTAATCGTGCCTAAGTCGCCTATAAATATAACTTCTTACGCTAGTTATTTAGAAGATATTAGACCTGTTTATCCGAAGCCTGCTTCTTACGTAGCTCTATAGCTATATCGTCTACTATCTCTTAAACCTCGATCTCGCTACGGGCATAGTAGATAGCGTATAAGAATAGCCGCTAGACCTATAGATACAGCTTCTCGGGGAAGTGTCGTAGGAAGGTCTCTTTAGCGTGTCGTTAGTAGAGATATATCGTAATCTCTTCGAGGAAGGCTAGTCGAATAGCGCGCTATTCCTAGGCCGAGTCGTCTATAATAGCTATCTTTAGCTTCTACCGAGGAGCCTACTTCTTTAAAACCTAAAGCCTAGCCTTAATTAGCTTTGCTCGCTAACTCTATAGTAGTAAATAGCCCCCTAGTATCTAGGAGCTAAAGGAATTGCGGATATAGACGGTAAATAGGTAAAAATCGTTGTCGCTCGTTTTATAAGTAGCGTCGAATAGAAACAACTATATATAGACGGTTAGTCGTTGCTATAATAATTTGAATGTTAGGAAAGCTAAAGCTAATACCTAAGGTACCGAAAGTTAGTCGAGGAAATATCTACCTATATCTCTACTAATACCGCTATTTAGCATCTCTCGCTACTAAGCACTCTACTAGGCTACTCTATTATAAACGACGCTATTAATACGGACTAATATAGCCTCGTAGGAGAGGCCTATACTAGATATATCGTCCGTAAGAGGGCTAAGGTTACGGTTAAGGTTATCTAGCTATAGCTTTATATTGCCCTTATTAGCTTAGGTAACTCGCTTCTTATCCTTCTTTATAGACTATACAATAATACCTTTTTTAGCCTAGTGCGCTCTAATAATCGCTAGGCGAGGTGCATTAGGTCCCTCCTTTAATAGGTAGAATACATAGGCTATATTATAATTATGCTAATCTATTAGGCCTTCTATAACAACCCGGAGGCTATTAGAAGCCGATCGGACGTCTATATAGTCTAGTATATAACTGTAAATATAGTTACCTTCCGCCGCCGAGTTACGACTTCTACGAGCAATTTTATATCTATATAGCTTATCTATACCTTTATTAAATAACGCAATTACCGCGATCGAAGCGTTATACGATAGCTTATTATATTCTATCTTACGAATACCCTCCGAGTCGTTACGACTACGATTAAAGTTACGCCGATAGCGATAGTAATAGATAGTCCTTCTCGTTAACCTATCCTTCGAACGAGCTAGAGGCTTCTCCTCCTATATATTAGATATAAAGGGCTATACCTAGTTATATTTAGCAGCCTTTAAGAAGCTACCCTCGATTAATAGACTAAATAGCGATTATCGCAGTTAATATATTATAGAAATAGGCAAAAGATAGGCTATTTTAAAGAGCTAGGATAATAGGTTATAGGTTAGTATATAGGTTAGTATATAGATTAGCCGAATAGAGGTTAAATAGACACCTATAGTAATAGCTACAATACCTCCTTTTATCGAGAATAGGCTATATACTACTAAGTTTCGACTATATGAAGTTATAGACCCTAGCATCTTCGGAAGGCCTATTTTGGCTGGTAATATCGACACTTCTTAGATGCGGATATCTACCGGAAGCTGACTCGAAAACTGACTCAAGCACTGGCTCCACCGGCTGCTAAAATACTATGACATCCAAGCATAATTGCAGATTTCTCTGCGCCGCGCAGTGGGCGGGGTTGGAGGGAGGCATGGATCGGCTGTCCCAATTGGCTGATCAAGGTACCGCGACAAGGGTTTGTCTCGCGCTGTCCGATCCAGGGCACGACCTCGAATGCTGGAGGTGGTGTGGTGCTGCTCTCCTGCAAACGCTCAGATGGAAGGGTGTATGCTTGCAGTGAACTACCACAATTGCTCAATCCAGAAAGGAGATGTTCGAAGAGAAGGCGGAAAGTAGTTCTTCTCGAAAGGTTCTTACTGTAGTGTTCGGCGAAACATTATTCCGAACGGGCCTTTCCGTTCTGCTTTCCCCTGCATCAAATGGTGCGCCACCCGATCCACAGTCCGTTAGACGGTTAGACCGTTAGGCCCTGTCTACTTGCAACAGGTTATGGCGTAAACCGAGAGATTATAATAACCTCATAAGCGGCTCAGATTATGGCGACTTATAATCGGTTATCCATGAGACAGTGCCAGGTGTTAAGACCCACATAATAAGCCTCCGGCTCGGCAGCCACACTCCACCTCTTTGTAGTAGGCCATATAGCTTCCAGTGGTATTTATGATGATATCGATGACGGCGCAGTAGGTGGTAAATCGGCGGGCGAAGGGCGGGGAGGACGAGTGCTTCGGCGAGTGTGGTTTGTGGTGTAGTTACTGTATAAATATGCGGTTAGTCGAGCAGCTAGTCTCTCAGTTTGAAGCCATTCGAATACTGGCAAATATGGTCTCCCAATCGACGGATTCTCAGCCCTCTCAGGCGCCATGCCGGAAGTCTATAGGGCGCACGGATAGGCTTGAAAGCTCCTCAAGAGTTGGTTATGCTGATCATACCATATATGGCATAATCTCAGCGAGTTTACGAGCACAGCGATAACCAACGATTCAATAATCGTTGTTACATAAGACAGGTTGGTTATTGGAAGAGTTGTTATAATCTACGGCCAGGTTATGCTATAACCTGTTGCAAGTAGACAGGGCCTTAGAGAAAGCGTTCCTGCGTGACGACGAGCCTTCGCGTCCAGCAAGGAAGGCACTACCGGAGAGACATTCTGCAGAGGTTGGCATCGTCATCTCCTACTCCTCCTTGCAAACATCCTCTACCCCAGCACCCAGAACTTCGTACTGCACTGTCGCTATCCAGCATTTCCTACATCGCTCTTTTCCTTGACATCATTTCGCTTGTGTGACGCGTGCCTGGTGTCACGGTCTGCTTGGGCATTGATCGCGAGTGGAGCTTGTGCGCGCGCATTGTCGATTCACTCGAGGAAGAAAGTTGGTGAATAGTTGCAGGCTGGGCCTGGAACGTGTTGCCACACCCTGTATTGTCCATCTTTCTCTTATTTGCAACTTCACCTCATTTGAAGCCGCGGCATGGCATCTCACCTACAACCGAGCGCGAGCCAGCGGAAAAGATTCTCGCGCGAAGGCTTCCGCCCAATTCCTCCTGATCAAGCTGATTACAACCACAACATGGCGCCAAGCGATGTGACGATCGATATCCCACTTGAGCCCGTCAAGACCAGTGCGAGCAGCGGCGGTGGACTACGGAATCACAGTGCTCAGAATGTCGGCTTGCAGCCCATCAACACCAATTCGCAGAGCAGCGAGAAGAAGAGCTGGATTCGAGGCAGGCGGACGAAGCCTGTCGAAGGACAAGGTACGGGTCGAGTCGGATACGATGGCGAGGAAGATACGCTTACAACCATGGGCAAGATCTATGACAAGATCCTGGGCTTCTCCATCATCACCAGATATTTTCTCTATGTCCTGCCGTTGGGACTGCTGATTGCCGTTCCCATCATTGTCGGATCTTTCTACAGCGAGAAGAACATGCCTGAAATCGGAGGCGTGTCGCTCGTCTGGTTCTTTACATGGGTCGAAATTGTCTGGCTGTCTCTCTGGGTTTCGAAGATCGTGGTACATTTCTTGCCTTTCGTCTTCCAGACACTGGTCGGCGTGGTCAGCTCTGGTGTCCGCAAATATGCGACAGTTCTTCGCAAGCTGGAGATTCCATTGTCCCTGGTGGGATGGGCGGTCACGTCTCTGGCTACATTCAAGCCACTTATGGAGAAGAACCCCTACAATCGCAAGACCGCTCACAATCTGAGCGCTTCTAATACCAAATGGGTTACGATTGTGCAGGAAATTCTTGGTGCTGCCGTGGTTTCGACTCTGGTCTTCCTTGCTGAGAAGTTCATCATCCAGCTCATCAGCATCAACTACCACAGGAAGCAGTTCAATGCGAGGATTAAGGATTCTAAACGACAAGTCTACATTCTTGGACTGCTATACGATGCATCGACTGCACTGTTCCCAGCATATGGCGATGAGTTTCAGGAGGAGGATTATGCCATTGCTGATCAGCTCAACTTTGCCGCTTTCGGCGGCAAGAGGAAGCGGACGCACAAGAGATCGGGATCGGCGACACCTATGCGTGCGTTGCAAGAACTCGGTCGCTTGGGTGACAAGGTCACGTCTGCTTTTGGAAATGTCGCATCTGAGATTACCGGAAAGGAAGTCTTTAACCCGAACAGCTCGCACTCCATTGTGGTCGAAGCATTGGAACGACGACGCACTTCCGAAGCCCTTGCTCGCCGTATCTGGATGTCCATGGTGATGGAAGGCCACGAGGAGCTTCGCGAGGAAGACATCGTCGACGTTCTGGGACCAGATCGCAAAGCTGAAGCCGAAGAGGCATACGAGGCTCTAGATCGAGACGGGAATGGCGATATTTCTCTTGATGAGATGATTCAGACTGTCGTCGAGTGGGGTCGCGAGCGTAAGGCAATCGCGACCAGCATGGTGGATGTCGCTCAAGCCATTAATGTCTTGGACCGCCTCCTTCAGACCGTGGTACTGGTCGCCGTGGTCTTCATCTTCATTGCTTTCCTCAACAAAAACTTCGTCACGACTCTTGCGACGACCGGAACAGCACTTCTCTCGCTGTCCTTCGTCTTCTCGGTCACTGCACAAGAGATCCTCGGCTCCTGTATCTTCCTCTTCGTCAAGCATCCTTTCGATGTTGGTGACAGGGTTGACATTGCAGACAATGCATTCCTTGTGGAACACATCAGTCTGCTGTTCACCGTCTTCCGCAGGGCGAACGGAAACAAGACAGGGCAGCTGTGCCAGTACCCGAATATTGTGCTCAACACGCTTGCACTCGACAACATTAGCAGAAGCAAGGCACAGACTGAACAAATCACCCTGGACATCTCCTTCGACACGAAGTTCGACGACATTCAAATTCTCAGGAACGAGCTTGTTCGATTCGTCACCGACAAGGACAATTCGCGCGACTTCCTGCCAGACTTGGACGTGGAAGTGCTTGGTACATCTGACATGTCGAAGCTGCAGCTCAAGGTGGAGATCAGACACAAGAGCAACTGGGCCAACGAGACACTCCGCGCAGCGAGACGAAGCAAGTTCATGTGTGCGCTGGTCGCCGCGCTTCGTGCTGTCCCGATTTATGCCCCAGGTGGTGGTGGCGATGCTGCAGGCAGCGCAGCAAACCCCAACTACTCTGTGGCAATCACAGATTCTGAAGCCAAGGAGAATGCGCAACACACCGCCGATGAGCGGGAGAAGGCTCGCCTCGTCGCGACCAAGAAGATCCAGGAAGCAAAGGAAGCGACTGCGATGGGCATGACTGGCATGAAATCTGGCGATGCCAAGGTCATCAACGACCTCAACTCGCGAGATCCAGCTATTGACACTGCTCGGGATCAGGCATGGGCTTCAGGACGCGACGATAATAGCACTCTCGGCGAACGACCCAGCATCGACCAACAAGACCTGAACGACGTTCGCAGCCTCCTTCGTCGGGAGAGCACACGTGGCAAGCGCAAGGCTAGTACCGAGCAGTCTCGTCCATATGCTCCAGGTGTCCCTACGATCAACGAACCTCACCAAACGACATCCGCACCACCTCAGGTTCAATTCCCAGGTTCCGAAGCTCGGCAGCCAAGCCCGAACCAGTTTCCCAATTTCCCGAGTCCTTACAGACCTACTCAGCAGTACCAGTCTGCTCAAGGCTACGTCCAACCACGCAGTAATGTTGAGATGAGCCAGATTCCTCAGCAAGGCACGAGTAACCCGTATAGGAGTCGGGGGCAAGAGCAGGCTTTGAGTCCACCTTCTGCTCGACGGGTGGGGGAAAGAGATGACGAAGATGATGCATGGAATGGGAGGCCATACTCTGGCGTTTGAGAAGCACCAATGATTGAAGAAAAAGTCCTCGAATAGACTACCAAAATGGCGTTGGAATGGCCTCCAGCTACACTTGAATTTTGGCTGTGTTTTGGCATGTGAAAAGCATGGAAAGTTTATGACGAGTGTATACGAAGGTCAGGTACATAGTCGAAAAGAATCCGACAGGACCCGAGAAAGGTGACAGAACGATGAACAATGAAGCAGTTCTTCTCACTTTGCCTCTCTGGTCTGGATACGACGGCTGTAGATCAGGCTTGGCCTTGGCAGGGTCTTGACATGGCGGCTTCTACTTCTGGACACCGCACCGCCACCACTTGTACCATCAAGACCAAGAGTATCTAACTTCACCTCGCGAACTGTCCTGAGTCATCTTTCGTTTTGGGTAGGTACTCGGAAGTCAATTTTGATGGAGGTTGATGGGGGCTTGATGTATAAGTAACAGGGCAGGGGCTGCTTGATATTCACCCAATTGTTTCCTACTACACGATCCTCCGACTTCCCACGCCCTTCACCACTTCCCAAGAAAAAAGAACCACCAACAAAAAAATGCCAACCCCCAAACCCTCCAAATCCTCAATTTCCTCGGGCCCAGGTTCCTTAACCATCACATCCCAGCAATCTCGTTTCCACACCGAAACTTCGGAATTTCCCAACACTTTGAAAGAAATCTCGGTGAAGGATCTTAATGTTGCGATTGGGGGAAGGGAGTTGTTATCGCATGCTGAGTTTCAATTACAGAGGGGGAGACGATATGTTTTGCATGGGAGGAACGGGATGGGGAAATCTACGCTTCTCAAAGCGATTAAGGAGGATTTGATTCCTAGTGTTCCGAGGGGGGTTAGGAGGGGGTTTGTGGGGCAGGTTGAGATGGAGGAGGCAGGGAGGGATGGTGGGGAGTTGAGTGTGTTGGAGTTTGTGGTTCGAAGTGATGAGGGACGGGAAAGACTTTTGAGGGAGGAGAGGATGATTTCTGAGGCTTTGGAGAGGGGGGAGGATTCTATGGGTGTTGTGAAGGTTTATCGGAGGGTTTTTTATGAGAGGTTGGAGAGGAGGTTACGTGATGTTAGACAGATTGCTTTGAGGAGGAGTGGGGCACGGGGGAGGAAGACGAGAGAGGAGGAGTTGAAATTGGAGGGGGAGGTGGAGGTGGCTCGCCAGAAATGTCTGTTGGAGGAGGCGAGTGTTGAGGAGATGGCGGTTGAGTCGAAGAAAGCTGTTGAGATGTTGACTGATGTGCAGACTTCGCTGGAGCTTATGGATGCGGAGGGTGCGGAGGCTAAGGCAAGAGATGTTCTGAAAGGACTGGGGTTTTCGGAAGAGCGCTTGATGAGACCTCGATCACATCTTTCTGGTGGATGGCGGACGAGATGCTCCCTCGCGTGTGCTTTATGTCGAACCGTGGATCTGCTACTCCTCGACGAGCCTACGAATTTCCTCGACCTGCCCTCAATCATCTGGCTAGAACGCTACATTTCCGAAGAACTCAGCCCCGACACCACAGTCCTAGTCGTAACCCACGACCGAGCATTCGGCGACTCAATCGCAGAAGAGCTCCTCATCCTCCGCAACCAACTCCTCGAACGCTTCCGCGGAAACCTCTCACAATACGAAACAGATCGTTTAAAATCCTACAAATACCTCACCCGCATGAAAGAAGCCCAAGAGAAACAAAAATCCCACCTCCAATACCAAATTCAAGGAAACATCAACGCCGCCCGCCGCGCCGGTGACGATAAGAAATTAAAACAAGCTGCTTCTCGCAAGAAGAAACTTGATGAACGAATGGGAATGGAAGTCAGCGCCAAAGGTACAAGATTCCGATTAAATGACCAAGCAGGTTACTTCAATTCTTCAAGACAGGAAATCGAAGTCCCGGATTTCGATCCACCCGTGGAATTGAAGATCCCTACGCACCCGCCCGATCTCAGGTTTTTTGGAAGTCTTGTTTCGTTTGAGGGTGTGGGTTTCTCGTATACCACCTCGATAGAAGAAGGAAAAGGAAAAGGAAAGAAAGCGGAAGAGAAAATTTTGGTTTTAGAGGATGTGAATTTTACGATTCATCAAGGAGATCGCATGGGGGTTGCGGGTTTGAATGGGTCGGGGAAATCTACGCTTGTGAAACTCGTGATGGGGAGGAAGGGGATGGAGTTGGATTCGGGAACGATTCAGATGCATCCTCGAGGGAAAATCGCGTTGTATTCTCAACTCTCTGCTTCGGAGTTGGAGATTTTGGCAAATTCGAGGCCGGGACTTACGGCTTTGTCTCTGCTTCTCGAAACGATGCCGGCCGAGAGCAAGGAACAGGAAGCGCGCGCAATCCTTTCGGGATTGGGGTTGGTTGGAAAGATTGCTTCGGATGTACCCATCTCTTTGCTTTCCGGTGGTCAAAGAGTTCGATTGGCTCTGGCACGGATATTTGTTGATCCGCCGCATCTTTTGATTTTGGATGAAGTCACGACGCATTTGGATACGGATACGATTTTGGGGTTGGTGGAGGCTTTGAAGGGGTATGAGGGTGCGGACCTGGTTGTTACGCATGATAGGTTTTTTATGAAGACTGTGGTGGAGGGTGTGAGGGTTGGGGATTTGGCTGTTGGGAATAGGCCGGGAGAGAATGAGGGGGAGAGTGAGGAGAGTGAGGAGGTTGAGGAGGTTGAGATTAAGAGGACGAGGGGTGTGTTTAGATTGGCGAAGGGGAGGTTGAGGAGGTTGGAGCGTGGGATGGAGGAGTATGAGGAGATTGCTGCTAGGTCGGCGTCGAAATTGGGGAAGATGTAGATACTACGCAATGTCATATCCGTCATGGGTGGAATGTGAGTGAAGTAGGACGAGAGAATCAAATCTGGTAATCAAATTCGGATGTCGGCGACTGCCGGCACGTGGAGGTGGCGGCATGTGAACGGCTCCAGCTGTGACGTCGCGGTCCAGCCCACCTTGGCTTCTCAAGCCCAAGACAACGAACATTCGCGCCCAAGAATAATCTCTGCCTCGCATCCAGACAACCTCGACAATTCACGCCGACAGCTCATCATGTCCGGGCTTGAAAAAGCACTCTTCAACCTCAAGGTCCGCCAATCCAGTCTAGCCTAAGCCTGAGCCTCACTGACCCATCCCTCCCCATCACAGTTCACAGCCAAACAACTCAACCGCCAGGCAGCAAAAGCGACCAAAGACGAACAAACCGAGAAAGCGAAGCTAAAGAAAGCAATTTCGCAAAACCACAACGACATCGCAAAAATCTATGCGCAAAACGCTATACGGAAAAAGAACGAGAATCTCCAACTCCTCACCCTCGCTTCGCGCATAGATGCCGTGGCTTCAAGAGTCCAGACCGCGGTCACGATGAGGCAGGTCACGGGAAGTATGGCGAATGTGGTTAAGGGAATGGATAGTGCGATGAAGAGTATGGATTTGGAGAAGGTAATAAACAACATACACACATACATGCACGCATGGAGAAGAGCAGAGCAACCACTGATGCTTTTTCACGATAGATCTCAGCCGTGATGGACCGTTTCGAAACACAATTCGAAGATTTGGATGTCGCGACGGGGTATTACGAGAACGCTACTTCGAGTGCCACGGCTACGGGGACGCCGCAGGAAGATGTGGATCGGTTGATGAGTCAGGTCGCGGATGAGGCGGGTGTGGAATTGAGTCAGGAAATGGCTGGGGCTACGCCGGCGAAGAATATTGCGCAGCCGGCGGAGGAGGAGAGGGAGGATAAGTTGGGGGAGAGGTTGAGGGCTTTGAGGAGTTGAGGGGGTGGGGCGGTTGTTGTCTTACTTGGGAGGGTTTTATACATGGCGTGGCGTTTTTGGGGGGGTTGCTATTACTGGAGGATGGATGGGGTGTATTTTTTCTTTGAGAGACGACATGGATGGGTTTGGTTTGCTTGCTGCCGATCACATGGTATGGTTCGAAATGTCTCATGATGATTGACATTAGCATTAGCGAAATATCTTCGGTCTCGAAAAGGGCGATCGCAAGAGCGTCAATCACAGCCGCAGCCAAGCGAGCAGCACTGTTTCAGGTGGATCATTGTCGTGGTGGACTACGCTCTGGGAAGGGAATCATTTCTGTGAGAGAGTATCTTCGGAAATCTTCCTCTGCAACAGCTTCTACTCTGGAACACGAATTCAATGATCATACCACTCTCGAATGCATATCTGCGCTCTTTCTGCAAGACCAAATGCTTACGCGCGAGCCCTGAATCTCAAAACAGGCAAGAGTCTTGTTGTGCGAAAGTCTTGAGTCTGGAGGCACAATGACTGTGGCTTGTGATCTAATACGCCAAATGTCTTTGGCTTAGGCCTAGGCCTTTGTCTGAGTTTCGAAATGCAAATCTTGAATATGGACTACCGTACGAAATCTTAGATGAGTAATGCTTCTAATCACCTTGTCATTCATTCTAGATACAAACTTATCAAACCATCGAGAGAATCCCTCGCAACATACAAAAAAAAAAGACTTCATAGATCAAGCCGGGATGCCAAGGAAACGGCAGAATTGATCGATTCCGAGAATCTTTGGGTAGGAAGTCGTTGCTGAGCTCGTCTCATCGACTTCCTCATGTTGAAAAAGGACAAGTAGACGTGATTTCGAGTCGCAGGAGGCCTAATTCCTCCGAAGTATAGAGATAATGCCTCGAGCTTAACCTAAGCGTCTTTTTCATTAGATCGTCGACTAGAGAAGATGGCTTGTTTTGAGCTTGCAGTTTTTAGGTGGCAGGTGGATAGTAGTCCTATGGGAAAGGATGCCTTCGACTTAGAGGCCTTAGCAAGGACTTGGCGGGCTGAAAGGATGCTGTATGATAGCTCGATTGTATAAAGGAATGGTAAGGTGATTGCAGGCGGCTTCTATGGCTTGCACTTGAGGCTCGGAATTTGGACTGCATCTTCATGCATACGACACTTTTTTCCTATCTTGAAGTTGATCAAAAGTGAATCTTGTCTTTGTCGTGGATGAGACTTCCAAGTGAAGCCGAATTAGCAGATTTATGCTTTCCCCGGCTATACTTCGGCAGGACGCGTGATTCTGGCAAGCTCTCGCAAACATTCTTGTTTGCAAACACCATCGAGGTCAACAGCACCACCACGCCTCCTAATACCGCGAAATGGCACTTCAGAATTCATCGCAAGCGGCGCCAGCCTATTTCCAGGCGCTTCTCGACCGCGGCCAGAAACGAGCGCCTTCAGACGAGCCGCAACTACAGCTAGGCCTGCAGGATATCGCGCGCAAGGTCAGGAACTTGGGCAAAGGCTTTACAGATGCACGAGCACACTACTTGCTGTCTGCATCGGGCGTAAACACCAGCGATGCGCTGCGTGATCTCGAAGAACTGTCGGGTGCAAAGGCTGGCCCAGCACCATCGTCTGAGCCCATGATTACCAGCGGAGTGAAGGAGGATCTTGCGCAGCGATACCAGAGCGATTTTCAGAAGATGGTCGACAGCCACATCAAACGCGCCCACGACGACTTTGACAAGATGATTGAAGAACGACTGCACGGTGTGGATTGGGACGCGCACCGACAGCGCATCTACGAGCACTTCGGCCTGAAGAAGCCACAGAACATGGAAGAGCAGGGTGGTGCAGAGAGCGCATACGGACAGAGCGGTTTTGGACGGTCTTCACGACGACCGAGACCGAATAGTACTGCTTCCAAGTCGTTTGGCATGTCTGGCATGTCCCGCTCGGTCATTGGTTCAGTGGGTCAACGTGGTGTGCGAAGCAGTGTCTTTGGCGATGTTGCCGAAAAGGTACCAGCTGATGGCATTCGACCGGCTCCAGAAGATAACTTGCTGCGAAAGAAGCAGAAGGAGTATGCTGGAAAGGTTACAGATCTGAATGCTGCACGGAGAGAGTTCAAAAACTACCCAATCCTGAAGCATTTCGCCGAGGTGGAGCAATGGCCTTCGAATGAAGACACATCAATGCTCGTCCAGGCATTCAAAGCGCTGGTCGAGATCACCAAAGAAAGCGACACGGCAGAGACCTTGACCGACAAAGGTGCGATTCGGGAGCGAACTTACGCCAAAGCTTACCTGGACGACTCGCGAGATTCGGAAGATGTTGTCCAAATACGCAAGCAAATTTTGAACGGATCTCGAACTTATCTGGAGAGCTTGTTCAAAGAACAGCTTATCGCCACTGTTAAGAAGAGTCCGCGCGAGGCGAACACAGGCGGCACACCGGATCCGCTTTCTCACGTCAAGGGCTACGTGCGCGTTCGTGCAGCGCGAAAGGAGCTTGGTCCCGATGCTGAGCTACTCCAAGAGATTAATGGAGACTACTGCTGGGCGGTCATCTTCTATCTGCTGCGCAGTGGACAATATGAACAGGCTATGAACTACGTCAACGCCAACATTGCGGCCTTTCGACAAATCGATCGCCAATTCACGAAATACCTCAAAGCATACGTCGACAGTTCAGAGCGACGACTACCCACTGACATACAGACTCAAATCAACAACGAATACTCACAAAGGCAGCGCCTGGCTCCCGAGGACTCAATCGATCCCTATCGGATGATGTGCTACAAAGTTATTGGCAGATGCGACATTGGCCGTCGCAGTCTTGACAACATCACAAACGACATGATGGACTGGCTGTGGTTGCAATTCGCCTTGGCGCGCGAGTACAATCGCTTTGACGAGTATGCGCACGAAGCTTTCAGCCTGGAGGATGTTCGAGCATCAATCAAAGAGATTGGCGAGAGGTACTTCGGTGCAGGCAGTGAAATTGCCAACGCACCAACCACACTCTTCTTCATGCAAGTTCTCGCAGGGCTCTTTGAAAAGGCAGTAGCGGACCTCTATCCTCACAACTATCTCTCGGCAGTACACTTTGCCATTGGGCTCGACTTTTACGGTCTGCTGCGCGTTAGCAATATCAACAACAGCGATGATCTTCTCACCTACACTACTCGACAGCAACCGCAAATTGCATTTGGCAGCATGATAGGGCTCTACACGCGCGACTTCCGCACATCTGAAGCCACGTGGGCTGTCGATTACCTCTCTCTGATCTGTTTGAATGCTGATCTGGATGGCGATATTGGCAAGGCACAGAAAGAGCTATGCTACCAGGCGCTCACTGAACTGGTGCTCGAGACTCGCGAATTCGCTCAGCTGCTTGGTGACATCAAAGCAGACGGCTCGCGGATTCCAGGTGCCATCGAAAATCGACTGTCCCTCATTAAGCTTCAAGGCAACGAATTTCTGAAGCATATCACGCTCGTTGCAGCCAGAACAGCGCAAGAGCAAGGTCGCACGACCGATGCAGCATTGCTTTACCACCTCTCGGAAGATTACAGCAAGGTCTTGGCTGTTGTCAACGAAGCACTATCGCTGGCGCTGACGACAGACCTTGGCGATACTCCAGCACGCCTTTTGCCGCTGAAGCCACGCAATATTACAGATCAAAACAACCAGGACGCTTCCCTGCAGCAAGCCAGCTTAAGCTTGACATCCATCGATGACCCAGTGCAGCTAGCTCAAGATATCAAGACCTTATACCAAAACGACGGAACTTGGACGAAGGCCAAGATTGAAGAGAAGCAAATGCACAGCTGCGAAATTCTACTCCTTCTAGCTGCCGCCCGCAGAGAACTCGAAGCAGGTCGCTGGGCCCCGACCCTTGATGTAAGTCGGTTCAAGCCCTGTCTTACTGTCTCCGCTAACCTAGATATTCCCAGTACATCCACAAAACCGACCTCCTCCCCACCGACCCCGAAGCACGCGGCAACATCTCCTTCATCCGCTCCAAAGCCCAAAACTTCGAAATCTTACCCCAGTCCGTCGCGAGAGTCATGGGTCACCTGATGGTCTGGACCGTCATCGCCTGCTCAAACCAAGTCGAGAGATTGAGTACCCAAGGCTTCGAGAACGCGGGTACGAAACAGTTGATCAAGAATACTGTGTATATTGCCAAGGACGTTATGGTCTTTGCGGGCTTGATCAAGTATAAATTGCCTGGGAGGGTTTGGGAGACGATTGCGAGGGTTGGGCAGGATTTGGAGGCGTTTCGGGTACAGTAGGGGTTGGTTTGAGAGGAGAGTGGAGGGGAAGTGGAAGTGGGTCTTGTATGATGAGTAGCGCTTGAAGACACGAGCGCTGGGTTTGAAAAGGTAGGTCGGTAGTCGGAATCACGTTTCAGGATCTTATTTTCAGCCTTCGCGTTCACGTGCTGTGCCTGTATATCAAGTCAAGTAGCGAATGTGCACGATACCCGCTATCCCATGCCTCAAATATTCATCGGTAGTCGCAACGCAACGCCCAAATATTCATAACTAGTACCATACCATTCGGGAATTTTCTTCCCAAACCTCTCGAATTCTTGTCTCGCCTCACTTACACCGCCAATTTTAGTCGAATGCACAAAACAAAACAAAAAAACCCCCATCGATTCCTTCAAGACACTCTTCGAAGTATGAAAATTGATCAAAACGTTTTTGGTACGGTTGCTGTACGCCAAGAACAGAATTACCTTAAGCTATATATGACCTCTCCGTGGACAGAATGGAAGAAGCAAGTAACCTGCAGCAGCAGCAATCGAATTATTAAGTTTTCAGGCTCTTGAATTAGGACCGGGAGACTGTGCAAAATCCAAGTCTTGGCAAGTGTTGGTGGCATCTACTATGTATAGACTTGAAGAAGAAAATTGTAGCGCGTTTTTCAGAGCTTATTCGCCATCGAAATTCGCCTCGCATGTTCAATTTCCTTCTCCTCTACTACTTCAAATTCTGCCCATCCCGTTGACCAGAATACAACGCCCTTGACATGCCACCCAAATGCACTCTTCCCGCCTTAACAGCCTCATCGGCAATCTCTCCCAAAGTCGAAGTCCGACTAAAAGGAATCATAACATCATATCCACAACAATGTAATTCAACATTATGTTCAGGATGGTGTGGCACAAAAATCTTGCGCCAGCTCTCATACCGCTCGATTGGGGTCGTACCGTCTAAAGTTCCTGGGATTGGATGTCCTCCAGATATGTCTTCGCTCCAGAACATTGAGACGTTCATGCCTAAAATGATTGTTTGGGGGTTCGGGATTGGTCGGACATGGGACCAGAATGGGTAGAAGACGTTTTCTAGGGAGAAGAAGAATTTGCGGTATTTGTCGGTTGCGTCTGCGAATTTGGATGTTGCGGTGCGACGAGCATCTGGTTGTTCGAGGTGCATGCAGCGGCGAAGGTCTGGCGAGGTTCTGATCAAAGATTGGAATGTGGTATTGACCCTTTGTATGACGAATAGTTGTTTCCACGTTGTATGGTTCAAGCTGCCGAGTTGAAGGAGGATAAGTTCTGCTAACTCCGGAACCATGAAGACTGATGTTGAAGCGTCGCGATGCATCTTAGGCGGCTAGGTATGATGAGGAAGCTCTTCCACCGTCTTATGGGAGGATGTCGTCGAACACTGGGTCCAGTATTGATGGATTAATTATGGTTCAGGAACTGTGGGTACGTAGGTTGATAGGCCGTTTGAGTCGAGACGATGACATTGCCAACACAAAGCATGGTAAGAGATATTTATCCATATCGTACTTCCTACTTCGGCGGGCCACGGATGGTATTGCGACCTGCGCTCTTCCTTGTTGTTCAGCAAAGGGCTTACCTTCCTCGGCGCTTAGTCGGTAGTGGCATTTGTTGGTGGAGTAAGCTCTAGTCCGTCGCAGTGCGAAGAAGTGCCTGCCCCGTCCCTGAAGCAGTGCTTTCTCGGTCCATCGGCGGCCTCACTCACAAAAAGCATTCCGAGATACTAGTACGCCAGATTTATCCACATTTGGATCGTCGCGTGTCACATATTGCGAAGTTGCCCCTAAGCTCCGCGTCTTTCCAGTCGGTGGTTTTATTGTCTGCTTCAATGCTGCGCAACTTGTCGTTTCCGGAACGCTGCTATGCTTTGGATATGCTTTTGAGATATGCATCGAGATGGAGTGCCAAGTCCTCTTTCAAGCGCTCACTTGAGCACGGTATTTGCACCTCTGGCAGCGAGATACTCCTGCACTTGTGTGGTATTGAGACTTTTCACCACAGCATATATCTCAGCATTGTAGTAGTAGAGGCCGGACTTCGGGTCTTTGTATTTGGCTGGCAATCCAGTTATGTCGCAATACTTCTTCTTTGGCTTCAAGCTGGGAGCAGCAGCGATGCTTGTGTACGTGACACTTGGCGCAAAGCCAGCTGGAACAGGCGTAGGTGCCAGACCATTGTTTTGTTTGGCATTCTTCTCCAACACCAGCCTGCCCAGATCTTGACTGGCCTTCTCAGGGTTCGGGTTGAGGGAAGGTGTATTCGTGCCGTCGGTGGCTGGCTGTGGTGTGCTCGCTCCCGAATTTTGCTGAGTGTTCATCAAGCTGTTTTGTGCGCGCTGTGCTTCGGCGAGAATCTGCTTGAGATTCTTGTTGCGACGTTGCGGTGGCTTCCAGTTCGGGTTGCGGAAGGGCTTGTGGATCTTGTACATGTCGAGGGTGTCAAGGAGGGCGGCGTGCGTCTCCTCGTTGGAGGCAGTGGTGATTGGCGCCATGGTGACGGCGATGGCGATATGCTTCCGTCGCGTGCTGGTGATGCCGCGGTGAAGTTGAAGGAAGCTCTGCGCTGCAACGCGAAAACATGGCATGCTGACACGTGAAACGTGAAACTCGAGATGTGGCTCGTGCGTCATGTCTGACCGCATGCACACGATACAAGCAGTCTATCTTGCCCCGAAGCATTCGATTCGATATACCCCATTGACCAGGCACCACAAATATCAAACCCTTGAAAACCCCCTCCGCAGTCCTTCGGTCCTCTCCTGCACAACACCGCATCCGCATCCACAACCGCAGCCATGAAGCTCCTCTACATCGGTGTATCACACCCCGCCATCCCACCATCGCTCCTGTAGCACTAACACATGCGCACAGATTCTGAAGAACGAAGAGAAGCCCGCAGTCGAACTATGCGTGGAACGTGAACTCTCCTCCTTCTCCCGCTTCACCCGCGGCTCCGTCGGCGAATTCATGACCGTCTTCTCCAAGACCGTGGCAGAGAGGACTAAGGCAGGCCAACGGCAGGATGTCGAGGAGCAGTCATACACATTCCACTCATATGCCCGGTCTGAGGGTGTATGTGGCATCATAATCTCCGATCACGAATACCCAAAGATGGTTGCACATCAATTGCTGTCCAAGATCTTGGATGAGTTCTTGTCGCGCTACCCCAGAAGTGCTTGGGCGAACTCGAACAGCGAGGTGCCATTTCCACAATTGAAGGAGTACATTACCAAGTATCAAGATCCGCAGGCGGCTGATAGCATCATGAAGGTGAGTGGAAAGAATGCATGCCAGTCATGGAGACCCAGGCGCAGTGGTGCATTCCGTAGCAGAACTGACATGCTCGCCCTCAGATCCAGAAAGAACTCGACGAGACTAAGATTGTCCTCCACAAGACCATTGAGTCGGTGTTAGAGCGAGGCGAGAAGATTGACAGCTTAGTCGCGAAATCAGATGGCCTGAGCGCACAGAGCAAGATGTTTTATACCCAGGCCAAGAAGCAGAACAGCTGCTGTGTGCTCATGTAATTGGGATATGGAAAGAGCGAGCATTTGTAAGGAGTCGCGGCGTTAGACCTGGGAATGACGACTTGGTAATCACAGGCATGATTGTAGCTCGTGCCGGAGCTCGTGATAGAAGATGAACATGAAGACGCATGTGATGACGCACGACTTCCTTCTGCATGTGCAAGTGAAGTCCAAGCTCAAGCTCAAGCGCTCCAACTATAACTCGCATCTTGGCGCTTGCTGCGACTTCCACGCTGACATCAACACTCAAAGTCACAGTCACCTGAACCAAACGGTCTTCAGCGAACTGGCCATAGTGAGTTGTTTCCAAGAGCTTGAAGAGAGACATATTGACAACTGTGCAGATGGCGGCCACGAATACCGTCAAAGCTAGCAGTGCCGACCACACTGGTCTTGGTGCTGGTCGAGTCTTTGCGATACCCGAACTCCTCGAAAGAATCCTTACACACCTCCCGCCGATCGACATCTTCAAGGTTCAACGAGTTAATAGAACCTACAAAGCTACGATTGCGGGCTCCAAGCAGCTTCGAAGTTTGATGCACTGTGACCGCAACTTCGATGCAATGAGATCCTTACTCTATTCTCGGGGCCTCGCCAAAGCCATCTTTCCCCTCCAAGCATGGCTGCTTTCAGACCTTAGGCCGACCAGTCGATGGCCACGAGACTGGATCCGTGTTCGCCAATCGTCCGGTCAAACGCAACGAGACAAAATCGGTATTGGCCGATACTATGACTTGCGCGACTCCGATATCTGCTTCAGCATTTTCGTTAACGAAAAGCAGCTCGAGAAACCTCCCCGAATCTCGAAACTGAGATATGCTGTTCACCAATCACAGTTCCGATCACGCTGCACCACTACTGCCTCTTGGCGGAGGATCAAGATTGGTGGAACTGGGAAGAGAGTCCTGGTTGCGTTCCATCATACTGGAGATTGGGCGTCAAAGGTTTTCGATCTTGAGGGAGGTAGCACGCTAGGTGATTTGGTTGATGCTTGTGTGGAGGAGCTTGAGAAGTTTTGGACGAAGGAGTAGATGTGATGCGCTGAGCGGACACGAGGGTGCAAGCATCTGATTTGCGGTACGCAGGGATCGAGCCAGTGAGCCGAACCTCGACGGATCAAGACACAAGTCAAGCGAAGCAAAACGAGTTGAGGAAAGCATTGAGAGACGCAGTGAGTGCTGATATGACACTCATTGACTCTTCGACTCCCATTACCATACACACTACGTCCATCACGGAAAAACGCCAGACAACTCTATAGCAATCAGCGATAAGTTCTTCGGCCGCGACGAACATTCAAAACTTGCTAAGACACTTGGGATGGCTGCAGCCAATACTTCTGCCGCCGCCGCCGCTAGCTACCTCCTACCCAAAATCATGAACCCCCGCTTCAGCTCTACGTGAATCTATTGTACAGTAGTGGGGAAACCCGGCTTAGCACAAGTGTGTGCTTTACTTCTTCCGACACACACAGACAAGCGAACATACGCGACTACGACAAGAACACAGCAGTAGATACACGCGAGAATGATACCTTATCCTGCTGCAATGTAGCCTTCGTTACTGTCCTTCCCTTCTTGTTAATAATTGCAATGCCGCGCTTCAAAGGTATACAATGCTACCCAGACCCCTCGCAGTTACCTGAGATACCCTAAATACAAGGCATACAGCATACAGTTCCCTACATATGTACCTTTACCCACGACCTACCCGTCCCTCCCACACTATCAATCCAGCTATTGCGTGCACAACAGAAGTCATGCAGGTTCCTAGATCTGGAAAGCTGATATGTGCATACCTTGCTCTTCAGCCGCAAATGCTGGCTTGGCTGTTATGCGGCATCACAGTGCTATATTGTGTTGCAGGCTTGGCTCCCGACATATGAAGAATGTCTCCCTACATCGACGCGGCTCGCCTTTCATCACATGCGACACGAGAGAGGAGAGGCCCAACAGCCCGTCAAGATGATAGCCAACATTATCTATTCAATCACTCTTCTGATTCTCGTACGCATCCTGTACGAGTACACTATTCGCGATCGCAAGCTACCGCCAGGTCCCAGACGTTTGCCACTCATTGGCAATCTTCACCAAGTGCCCGCTGCTGGTCAGCTGCCATGGCTGGTATATCACCAGTGGGCGAAGGAATATGGCCCGATATACTCACTCCAACTCGGCGGCACCACATTCATCGTCATATCTTCTGGAGAAATTGCACGGGACCTCCTTGATCGTCGAGGCAGCAGATACAGCGATAGACTGGAAAGCGTCATGGCTGGCGAGATCCTTACCAAAGGCAATCACATCCTACTAAGACCATACGATGGAACCTACAGACTACATCAGAAGATGGAAGCTCCCGTCCTAAACAGCAAAACTAGTCCTCTCTACGCCCCAGTCCACGAACTCGAAAGCCTACAACTCCTCAAAGACCTACTCTCTACCAACGACTCACACAGCTTCGCAGAGCATCTCGAGCGCTACAGCATCTCAATAATCTACAGCCTAGCCTACAGTCTCCGAGTCCCCGACTTCACTCACCCAGACGTCGCCACAATCCACGAAACCCAAGCCCACATGCTCGACTGTCTCGTACCAGGAAAGTGGCTCGTAGAAGTCATCCCAGCAATGAAATACCTCCCGCGCTGCCTCGCCCCCTGGAGAGTCATAGCAGAAAACTACCATCTCATCGAAAGCAATCTCCACCTAAAACACATGGATTACGGCCTCTCCACCCAATCCTGGAACTGGACCAAAGAATTCACATCTTCACCGCAAGGCACCGACATGGAACGCTTAGAAATGGCATACGACCTTGGAATTCTCGCCGACGCAGGAATGGATACTACAGCAGCAATCCTCCAAACCTTCGTTTTCGCCGCCGTCACTCAACCTTCTTTCCTCGTTTCCGCACAAAAAGAACTCGACTCCGTCATCGGCCAACACCGCATCCCAATGCTCACCGACAAAGCCAAATTACCATATATCATGTCCATCGTCAACGAGACTTTCCGCTGGCACACCGTCGTCCCCGTCCTCACACCCCACGCCACGAAAGTGGAAGACGAATCTCACGGCTACCGCATCCCAGCCGGCTCGTGCGTTTTGGCTCTGCAGTGGAGTATGAACATGGACGAAACTTCCTTTCCGGATCCACATACCTTCTCCCCTGACCGCTGGCTTGACGGTCTCGACGCCAAAAAAAAGAAATTCCACGCTTTCGGCTACGGGAGAAGAATTTGTACGGGCAGACACATCGCCGAGAATTCTGCGTTTTTGGTGATTGCGAGGTTGTTGTGGGCGTTCGAGATTTTTCCGGGCGAGGATGGGGAGCAGATGTATAGGGAGAGATTGAAGGCTTTTGTGCCGAGTTTTGTGAGTAAACCGCTGCGGTTTGGTGCGAGGTTTGTGGTTAGGAGTGAGGGGAAGAGGAGGGTGATTGAGAGGGAGTGGCAGGGTGCGGAGAGGGATGTTGATGTTGTTATGAATGGGGTTGAGGGGGTTTGGAAGAGGAAACAGGGTGGTGGGAAAGTTTGAATTTGAGAGGTGGGATGCATGCACTGTTCGTTCTCGGCGATGAGGGCAGGGAGTTTGATTTTGTCTTGCGAGAGACTAAGCTACCATAGAATAGCCTGAGAAGGATATTGTGGTTTTGTGCTTCTACGAACTTCATTGAAGCCCCAGTGACTTGAGTGAGTGAGTGAGTGAGCGAATGTGGCAAAGAGTCATCTAGCGATCAATCTCGCATGTCGTCGTCGCCATGATATAGCCTGATACAGGAAGTGAAAATGTCTTGCTTCATGTGAAGTGCCTCTTCTCTGCGCTTCATTCGTAGTTCATACTTCATGCTAGAACCACCCCTGCGGTGCGCCTCCTTCCCATGATCTTCGTTTCCATATTTCGTACGCATCATAAAAAGCCTGCCAGCCATTCACTCGTCCATCCCATATCATACCCCATCCATAATACAGAGCAACTAGATTTCGCAATGCGCCCCGACCTTCGCGCATTGCCGTCGACCTCACCTGCTTGAACTTCTCTCGCCTCAGGTAGTGAGGAAAAGCACGGATCACGGTCGTCCGTCTAGCATGGCATAGCATAGCATACCCAAGCATTTCCATTCCCTCAAGAACCCTTTACCGCTGAAAAATCTCCTCCTGAATCCCAACAAAACCCCCAAAATTTCCTTCCTTTCCTTCCTCATTCATTCATTCATCATCCCCATCCTCAAAAAAATCCCTCATTTGCATCTTCTTCATCCGTGCCCTCATCAATCGCCGATCCATTTTCTGCTTCGGACGATCTTCACAAAACCCATCCTCTCCATCTTCTTCTTCCTCTTCCCCATCAGCAGAAGAAATCTGTCTGAGAATCTCCACCGCAGAAGTTCGCCGAATATCCCCATGAAGTTTGATCTTCATGTTTCGCAGATCCGTCTGATCGAGTCGAAGCAACCAATCCGTTCTCTCAGCCACAAATTCCCAGTACTTATCTTCCATATACCGAGAATCTTGTTGGAGTAGTCCGCCCATCCCCCACCCGAATTTCACACAATGCGCCCAATGCGGGATATCGTTTCGAAAAGGATTCCGTTTCTTCGCTTCCACGCTTTCGATTTCGGACTTGTTTTCTTCGAAACCTTGGTATAGCGCCACGAAGATGTCCATGAAGGTGAGACCTTTGTTGTTGGTGAGGAGGAAACTGTGATCTTCCGCGCCAGGAGGTTCGAATTTATTTGCTGCGTAGCGGTAATCGATTTCGAGGGTTGTGGAAGGGGGTTGTGTGGTGAACATGTTCTTCCAGCTTGCGTCTGGGGAGGTTTCGATGTAGGATTTTACGAGTTCGTGGGGGAGCATGAGCCATGGGCGAAGGTTGATTGCGCAGGGTGTGAGGCAGTTCCACACGGGCGTGATGCGTTTGCCGGTGTGCAGGCTGTGGTATTCGTCTCCCAAACCGTCGTATTTGCATTTGACTTTGTCGTCGTTGATGGGACGTAGGAAACAGGCGGTTTGGATTCGTGGTGATTGCTCAACGGTTGCTTTCCAGTAGCTTGAGACTCTCTGCACTGCGAAGAGTTGCTTTGGTGGAAGCTGGAGCAAGATTTGCTCGAGAAGTTCTGCCGTGCGGAGGACTGCGTTGCGTGCTTGGTTTGCTTGGGTGACTGATGCCATATTGAGCTGCCTTGTGCCTTGATCTGTTCGTTTTGATCAGGAAAATAGTGGTTTCTGGCCGTATTGTGAACTCTGCAGTTCGCTGACTGAATTGTTTGCAGTCTGCTTCGAACGCGGGCTCGTCTGCTGATTTTGCAGATTGTGTTCTGGAGAGAAGCTTGTTGTGTCTTGTGTCTTTAGCGTGATTTTTAAAGCTGAGCACGCAAGTGTTGGGTTCGATTGTTGTTGTAGCTTCTGCAGCGCTGTTCACTGGGAGATTTTTTTTGGTAGTCTTGTTTCCTTTTTGGCAGTCTTGTTGTTTTGGCAGGCTTGTTGTTTTGGCAGTCTTGCTTTTTTGCAGTCTCGTTCGAAGGGTGTCTTGTCTGTTGACTGTCCCGAGTGCTGGATTTTGTGCACAAGGTGGCGGCTTCTGCAGAGCAGATCACCGAATGGGAATTTTGGCAGTCTTCTTGATAGATTGTCTTGTCTTTGGGCTATTCAGAGTACTGAACACAGCGTGGTGGTTTTTGCAGCGCAGACCACTAGTGGGGATTTTCGCAGTCTAGCTGGCAGATGTTTTTGTCTGATGACTAGAACTTTGGTTAGTCTGGCTCGAAAATCGTTGTGCTCTTGATGTTGACCTTTTAGATTGTGTTCTGGTGAGCAGTGTATTTTATCGTATGCTTGCAGCGAGGTTTGAAGGCTGGGCTGGTAGATGATGATTTGAAAGTTGGTGTAAGAAGAGAAGAGAAGAAAACAAAAATCAGGCTGTGAAATAACGTGCGATACTGAGTCAGCCGGCAACTTTTGGGTATGTCTCTGGGCGAAGTGTTGCATGAGCCAATGAGGTGGTAGGAGATGCACATTACTTGCTTATTGTATCCACAGGCGAGCCGCAAGGTCCTGGACTGGAACCAAATACTGTATTATGCCTAAGGTTTTGCACGGATGTGAGCAGAAAAGACACGTATCAGCTCCCAAATCATGTCATTGGAACCGGCTTAACTGAGGCATGTCCGATGCTCGTTGCTGGTAGCTACCTAAAAGGTGCTCACGTCGCTTCCAGCATCTATCGCAACCCGCAGGGTCTTAGTTCGTACTTCGTAACAAGTGCAGATGTTCTGCTATGCACTTCCCGTGTGTCTCCGATGGTCTTGCACGGCCTTTTGTCGCACAGGGTATCCACCAGCATACGAAACCACTCCTTCAATCATCGCCATTAAGTACCATCTCGGCAGCACCGAAAGCAGTCGTCTCAGCTTGTGCCTCGGCTTTCTTCCGGCGGAACTCTTCGAGATAAGCAGCTGCCTGATCACCAGCGATCTCGTTGTAGGTGGTGCCCTTGCCAACACTTCCGCTCTTCTTCCGCCTTGGATTCACGTCCTTAGCAGCTCCCAGGGTAGGGAAAGCTCCTTGGTCGTCTGTATCTAGGGGCTTCGGCTTCGGTCTTGGTTGCTGACCTTGCGATCGCTGGCGTTTTTGATTATTGGTATTCCGCGGTTGCCCACTATGCTGTTGTGCATTCGATAGTTTCTTCTTGAGAATTTCCTGCTCTTGCGGCCCACCGAATTGCTCTGGCGCTCCATCTTTGATGCCAAGAATCTCGTTGTTGCGCTTCGCAATGTCCCGCTGCATGGCTAGCTCTTCCTGGCCGTCTTCAATCAGCTTGTCGCAAAGTTCACCAAGGTTGACGATGGAATTTCCGTTTCCGACGGCGAGAAGAATTCTGAATGCGCGTCGAAATTCATCCCTGATCGCAACAATGCCGTTGTGCGTAACAGTCCGAGCAACATTGTGATCGAGCTCGAAAGGATCTTCGATGCAAAACAGATAGCGATGCTGAATCTTCTTGCCTTCGCCCTCTTCAGTCGTGGCCTTGACCCAGCCTTTGGCGTCCTTCGTGAGGATACCGCCTGGAGTACGCAAGGAGAGTACTTGCTGAGTCCATCGGAACTGTGGGCCATTACCCATGGATGAGTAATACTGTAAAAAACCTGCCAGCAGCGAGCCAAGGCTCTCTTTATTCGAGCTCATCTGGCCCATTTGCAGAGCTTGTTCAATCTCGTCTTCGTTGCGCCAAAAGTCGACCACCCATCCATCTACCTCTGCACGTGTAGCACCCGGTGGTGTGCATGCAGCGTGTGGTCGCCAAGGCATTTGCAAGTTTGGCAAGACCGGAGGCTGCACCACATTCATGAGATAATGCAACACCATCAGCACATAGCCGTAGCTGGAGAGAGTGCCAGAATATGAACTGTTGATCTTTCTGCCTTTTGCCCACGATTTCACGAACAGCACCATCGGCCGCACTCGCGGATCGCACTTGGAATAGCATCGAAGCATCTGGGTGTTGTGCAGTCCGAGTGGGTTGAAAAAGTTGATGTCGCACTGAATACCGACGCCGTCTTTCGGGAAATCGAGTGGACCGGCCTTACGCTCTCTCGTCCAAGTCTTTGGAGCATCGCGCTTCGAATTTTGCCCGGTAGCAGCGCCATTTGTGGTAACGGTGTCGCGTTTTGACTGCGTATCTGTCGTCTCGACCGTGGCCTTTTCCACGGCGGCATCAGATGTAGCTTTCTCAGCGACGGCTTCTGTGGATGCGATTGCAACATCCCCAGAAGTGACAGCCTCTGCTGCAGCGGCGACATCGTCTTCTGCCGTTTCGTCTTCTTCTCGGTGTAGATGAGGATACTTGGTCTCATTAGGAAGAGAGTCCCACCTCTCACGTTCAGCGCGCAACTTGTCGAGAAGACAGTCACCAGGGTGCTGACAGATTTTGATGATCGGCACTCGGGTTCTTGTGAGGAGTCTCGCGCCAAAGCCCACCCTGAGAAGCTCCTGCTCTAGAACTCGAGGCAAGTCGTCGGCGAGTAAAGAAAAGCAGGCATTTTTTTCGGCTTGTCCTTCAACCACGATAACCAGATCCATGTCCGAGCCGGCGCTTGCAAATCCCGATTCGAAGCTACCAAAGCATTGCAATGATACTCTCGGTAGACTTGGATTTGCCTCGCACACTCGATGACAGACGTGTTCAAGAGCGATGCGGAAAGAGCTTTTGTCATCTCGTTCGGCCTGGCTCATGTCGACAGTGGAGATCTCACGAGCTGCTAAGTCGTCCAAGTATTCAGCTTGCCGTTGGCGAACGACATCTCGACTTACAGGAGGATGGTGTGCTGTCCGAGCGTTGGGATTGTACAGGTTGCGATTCGTGGGTGGAGGTCTTCCATGGCCTTGGTGAGATGCGCCTCGTTGGAAAGCTTCTGGATCGAGGTGAATCTGCTGACTGCGCTGCTGTCGAAAAGAGCCGCCACCGCGCTGACCGCCGCCCCGGAAGCCACCTCGACCTTGTTGAGGACCTGGTGGCGGAGCGCCAGCGGCATATTGACGAGAGTGGGGGACAGGATGATGGGATTGGTGGTGGTGATGCGGAGCCTGAGGCGGAGCGTGATTGTGCACGTGTGGCGGCAGGAATCGTGGCAATTGCTGTGTTGGGAAGCGCGGCGGCGTCGGGGGTGGCAAGGCTTGCCTGTGAGGAGACGCTGGACTGGGGGAGTCACTGGCGCTCCATGGCTGAGCGTATGGAGATGGAGGCTCAGAGGTGGGGAGCGGGCGTGGATTCGATGGAGGCGGCAGCGATGGCGGTCCCAGTCTTGAGGCCAAGGAGGAGTCGTCGGGCACGGAGCCATTGAGGAGAATCATGCGCCTAAGACGATCCTCCAGGCTGGCGGCATCTGGCTGTGCGTGGTTGTCCATGTTGGCCACTTTGCGATGGCTCGCGTGCTGCCAAGGACCTTCAGATGAGATCGATCGAGTCTAAAACCCCATGGCGATGCCTGCCGCTGCAGTGGCGCATCCACAGGGGCGTGAACGAAAGGAAGAGAAGGAAACAGACTCCTTAACGCCCGCAGTCCCGTGATGCAGCCCTGTCGCAGCCTGCGCCCATCGAAATATCGTCCAGGTGAAGGTGTTGTCGCTTCGCGAACCGGAGCAAGCAGTGATTGTTCGGCAGGCGCCTGTCCCGGACCGAGCCGATACATCCCTGCAACCTTCCCTGGCTGGCACGAGCGTGGTTGCTGCACGTCAAGTTGCTTGTTGCGTGCCTGCCTTACCTTGCCTTGCACCTGCGACCTCTTTGACATTCCGCACTCAACCCTCCCCTCCGCTCCGCTCCGCCCTCCATTGTGTCGACAAAGAGACGGCGCTCGCGGTCGACACTTCCGCTGCTACCCTCCACCACACGCAATACCGCACCACCAAGCAGTCGGCATTGCGACGGAGCATACACCCCAGCATACCATGAGCGCGTCGCCCGCTCGCCCACCCTCGGGCCCAAACTCGGTGACACCCACGACCGGCGGACCACCTGCACCAGCGCGCAAGAAGCCCGCCGTCGACATCTTCCACAAGAAGAAGAAGCCTGCTGTCCGTCGCCCGCTTCAGCCCGGCCAGCGAGTCGTGCCTCCCTCCACTCAGAACAATGGCCCGCCCCTGCACTCCTTCCAGCAGCCTATCAATGGCACCGTTCGAAATGTCAACCCTACCGTCCCTGCCGCCGCCCCCTCTAAGGAGCCAGAGGAAGGCACCTACTCCGAATTTCCAATCGTCATCAGCAAGAGACAGCTAGAGGCCGGTCTGCGCTTCCATGCGATGAAGCTACAGAGTCGCATCGATGATGGCGAGCCGGTCACGGTTAATCCCTATGACGAGCACCAATTCACGCGACCCTTGCGGCTTCATCGTCGCTTTCCCGGCGACAAACCGGAGGCCGCTGATCAGTCGGATGCTGCTTCCGGCGTGGATGACAAGGAGCGTGAGCTGAACAATGCGCGGAGAGCAGAGCGCCAAGCGGAGCGCGAAGAGAATCAGAAGCTCATCGCACCGACGGGAGGCGATCCGAGCAAGCAGATCAAGAAGAAACAGCAGAAGAAGGTGGAGGAAGGCAGGGATGAGAGCGATCCGAAGCGTCAAAAGCGGTCAAAGCTGCGCTATGAAGAAGCGCGGCCATGGCATCTTGAAGACTTCGAAAGCAAGAATGTCTGGGTCGGTAGCTATGAACAAGCACTCTCCGAGCGCAGCATCATGCTCGAGGTTAAGGATGACGGCACTTTCGGCATGGTGCCCATCGAGAAATGGTACAGATTCCAGCAAGCGAACCGAGTGAACACCATCCCCAGCGATGATGTTGACAAAATGATGGCAAAGAGAATCCAGCCTTCGCGTTGGGCCATGAAGACGCATGCCGTCACGGACGAGGCTGCCAGGGAAGCTCACATGAAGAAGATGGCCATGCGCCGTGCGAAGAGAGAAGACGAGGACGTAGCGCGAAGAAGCAAGGACGATGGTGAATTCGACGCTGATCGCGACATGCTTGACGTGGAGATGGGTGACCTGAACGAATTCCAGGACGATGACGAAGGTGTCCTGTTCCAAATCGAGGATGATGATGATGCGAAGGAGCTTGAGATGCGTCTTTTCCTGGAGATGCGTGATGCTGGTCTTGGCGGTACTGGTGTCAAGGACGAGGCACTGGATGTCGAAGGCCAACTAAGGAAGGAGCAATTAGAGAAACTGGAAGAGCGGAAGAAGCAGAAGCGCATGCGCCGGCAACTACGAAAGCGCGAACATCAGGGCCAGTATAGCGATTCGGACGATAGTGACGACCCTTACGCCGACTCCAGCGATAGTATGGATTCCGAGGATGAGCGCGAAGAAGAGCGCAAGAAGGAAGAGGCAAAGAAGGCTGCGCAAGTCAATGGCGACAAATCTGGCGCCTCTACCAAGGGCACCAACACACCTACCGGCCGACCAGAAAAGCGTGATCCTTCCCGGCTCGGTGCCTCACTCAAGCGACCAGGCTCTCCTGACGTCTCGGATCTTAGTGGGAACGAGTCGAGCAGGAAGAAGGTCAAGAGCCTCAACGGCAAGCCCATGGCTGCCAGCTCTGGAGCTGCGCGCTCCCTATCTCGTAAGTCACTCCGCTAACCTTATAGCTTGTTCCTGTCAGAGGATTCTGCTGACTATAGAAGTAGCCGATGCGTCGAAGAAAGGCGCTGGCTCCGGCAGTGACACCGACACTTCCCGCAAGGGTCGCTCAGGTGCTCCCAAGATCAAACTCAAGAATTCTCCGGCCGCCACTCCGAGTGCTTCTCGTGCCGCATCGCCCGCTCGCTCCCCATTAAGCAGCACAGGCTTCCCTACAATCGACGAAGTCAAAGCTGCGATCCCCATCGAAGGCATTGACATCAAAAGTCTCGTGCAATTATTCAAGTTACGCGTTGCCGGCAAGACGGCGGACTTCATCAAAATGGTCAAATTGGCTGGAAAGCAGAGTACCGATCCGGCTTCGAAGGGTAAAATTGTACCAAAGTGAGGAGCAGACGCGGTTCTCCTCACATATCATTGATTCCACACTTAGATACCCTATAGAATGGCATGGCGCTCTGCTTGGAAATGACTCGTATGCACTTCATGTTATCTCCCAAGCTTTCTGCGGTGGTGGCGAGGCCGAGTGGTCAACGATTGATCTCCTTGATCACTGTGTCCAACCTCATACCTCAAAAGAAGTAAAAGTCTACTGTACCCGACTTCTCGGCGGATCTTGTGCTCTCACGTAGTGGTTATGCGGTGGAGGTCTCAGATGTACCGTGCACTTGGCATCACGGCCACGGATATCTTGCTTGACGCGCTGTCTACTTGGTATCTTCCACTGTCCTCTTACTATGAAAAACGCTTCTACCCCTTCAGCTTATTGAAAGACAAAGACTCAAATTCGGGCTAAGACAATAATGTGTCGTTGTACATCATCCACGTGATCCCCCCTACGTTGACCCCTGCTACTACCGTTGAGTATCCATCCCACTTATCATCACCGAATCATGCCCTCCTCCGCAGTCCTTCTATAAGTCTTAATCTAGGCTTTCTAGCTGAGTTTCAGAGGCCTGCTGCAAGTTCGTCGCGCTTGGCATAGATCTAGGTCGGAACTCCCAGGCCAGATACATTGGGCTCGGCATGGTCTTCTCGAGACATTCATCGGCTTCTCGATCGCATGGCTCAAGACAATCACTGATTCCGCCAACATCGGAAGAGGACATCGTACTGCAAGATGGAGCATCCGTCGTCGAGTCCGAACAGCTCGATGACCAGATAACCGATCAACCAGGCCTGGGCCGTCATCTTGGACTGTTCTCGACCATACTTCTCGTGGTAAATCGAATCATCGGCACAGGCATATACTCTACCCCTGGGGCCATCACTGCAGGCGTGGGGAGTGTTGGTGCATCACTCATACTCTGGACCTTGGGACTTCTCATCGCTTTCGCTGGACTTATGGTATGGGTCGAGTTGGGCTGCATGATACCTCGCTCGGGAGGAGAGAAGGTCTACCTTGAAGCTGCCTATAAACGCCCCAAACTCTTGGCAACGACCGTCTTTGCCTTTCAAGCCATTTTGCTTGGCTTCTCTGGTATGTTCCGTGGTGAATACGCGGAAGGCTGATACTGATCTCGGCTTTTCAGCGAATGGCTGTATCATATTTGCACAATACAGTCTCATTGCCGCCGGCCACTCGGCCACTGACTCTGAGAAACGAGGCATCGCAATTGCTGTCATCAGCTTCATTACTGCTCTGCACATCTTTTTCCCAATGTGGGGTGTCCGGGGCATGAACATCGTCAGTAGCGTCAAAGTCATCACGCTCATCTCGATTGTTGTCACAGGCTGCATAGTGCTTGCAGGCGGAGTATCATCGATCGAGGACCCTCACGCAAGTTTCCGACATGCGTTTCGAGGCACAAGCCGTAGCAGCCACCAGTGGGCGACTGCTTTGTAAGTCGGGCCCGTTGCGTTGGAGAAATATTATCTGCGTGACTGCTGACGATCATCTAGATTCAAGGTTCTCAGCTCATACCAGGGCTGGTCGACTGCAGCCTACGTTGCCAATGAGATCAAGCACCCTGTGCGCACTCTCAAAATTGCAGGACCAGCTGGATTGGGCATTTGCGGCGCTTGTTTCCTTTTTGTCAACATTTCCTACTTTGCTGCAGCGACTCCTGAAGAGATTGCAAACAGTCGGAATACTGTCGCCTCGCTCTTCATGAAGAAAGTCTTTGGTGACGCTGCCCAGAGAGTATTGAGCGCGCTTATCGCCATCTCAGCCTTTGGTAATGTAATGACCGTCACCTTTGCTCAAGCTCGAGTAAACCAGGAGCTAGCCAAGGAAGGTGTCATTCCTTACTCCCGGTTCTGGGCATCAGACTGGCCATTCGGATCACCCTCGGCTGGCATCCTCTTGCACTTCATACCCAGCTTCTTGGTCATCGTCGCGATTCCGTTTGGAGATGCGTATAACTTCATCCTGGACCTCGAGGGATATCCATTGAGCATCATCAATCTCTTTGTAGTCGTTGGATTCTTCTGGCTTCGGTATGCATGTTCGGACGCAGAGATCCCACGACCATTTCGCTGCTGGTGGCCGATAGCAGCGTTGTTCCTCTGCGCACAGGTGTTCTTAATACTGGCGCCTTTCTTACCTCCGCAGGATGGGAAAGGCGACACAAGTCTTCCATACTGGCTCTACCCAGTGGTCGGCATTATGATTCTTGTATCTGGCGCGATATACTGGGCTGTTCGATACAGACTTCTCCCCGCGATCAGCAAATATAATCTGGGCCGGGACAAACATCGCTACGAGAGACTGCAGAGCTCTAACGAAGGATGAATTATACCTCGTATCAGATCACAGATATGTGCCAAGACCCAAAGATCTGCAGCTACCGCAGCTTTTTGTCGCTCTCGAAATCCTCCTTGACTCGACCATAGAGCGCATCGTCAATGTCCCAGCCGGTCATTGCCAATCCCTTCCCAGCTACCAGCGTTCTCTCTCATAGGCCACCACGCCTCCCGCTGCTCTAGTGAATCCTGGCGTATGATTCTTCGACCCATCGTCTACAGGAATGCCAATAACCCCATGAAGAGCAGGTATCACGTACGAGACATCGCCTTGGTCCGTTGCAGCAGCTACATAGCCTTGGGATTTGAGGATCTCGATGCCTCCCACATGCATATGCTGCTGGAAAGATTCACACAGGGACTCATTGATACACAAGTCAGCGTAGCCGGTCTTCTCCTCAACTTCCAATTTGCAACCAGTGGCAAGCGCACCAGCCTCCATACACCGACGGACTTTGGCTCCGAGAGCCTTTGCTCCTCTGATAGTGGTACTTCTGGAGGGCCGTGAGGGCCGCAATAGCATTGTCATTAGCCTTTGGTGCTTCAACAATTGATCCATGAATCCTCTCCACAGGCAAGATCTGTTGCCTTAACATCGAAACGTTTACGTAAGCGGAGACCAAAGCATCCAGTGCGTTGACGCCTTCCCAAGGTGAGGCACCGGCATGGGCACGAACTCCGTGATCCGTGCCTTGCGAGGTATGAGATGCGACAGACCTGAATCCTGCCGTTCCAAGCATGCCTTTATCGGTGTACTCGGCGTCTGACATGGGATGGCTATGTCACCATCAGTTTTCGGTCCGCTTCGTCAGCAGCGCAGAGTGACCTTGAATCCGAGTTCTTCTAGGAGGTTTGAGTTGGCATCATGTGCTTTGTACTCCTTATATGCGACCTCGGGATTTTCGTGGATCTGAAACTATGGTGAGGGTGACAAATTTCGTTAAGATTTCATGCGTACTGCCGTATGTGTTCAGGTCTCGCAGCTTATTTTCGAGACTGGAAATGTATTCGTCTACCGCTTGCCGCACAATAGCATTTGATGAAATTTTTTGACCGCGACTCGTTGTCGCAGTGGTCGAGTCGCTAGGATTTTCCATTGCCGCATGGACGGAGCTGGAATCGATGAAAATGCTTCAGGCTGGAGTCGTGTCGACAATGCAAACAGGAAATCCGATGCTTCTGGAGCATTCGCATGGCCTATGTGGCCTTACATAAGCGCAGAACGCTGCACTGCATCTTCTTGGCCCGGCTCAGACCACTCCCTGCTGCCAACGAGGTGAGACTTGTTCAGCTTGTATTAGCAATCGGACTGATAGGTACAGAATGCCGCAATTCTCGAGAAAGCCACAGGACGAGTGTGACTTACCAAAGACTGTGCAACCATACCCAGAACATTAGTCAAGTACACTCTCACCACGACAGAATTAGATAGCAGTCTGCGTGACAGCATCGGCTGGGGAGCAATGAAGCGTTCCACTAAGTAAAGCAGCATCCCAGAGACGATACAGAGTCCGAGCGTCAGCGTTACGCGAGTGTCGTGAATAGTGTGTCCATCACCGAGAAAGACCATTGAGAGCAGTCCGAGTGTGATGGTACTGACCAATAGAAGAGCGCCCCCGAAATCGACATGTCGGAGGACGGTCGAGATTCGATGATCTCCAGTCGCTCCAACTTTTGTGGTGCCGGCCACCGCATCGCTATTGTCGTCAGGAGGCAGAAACGCCGGTAGCGATGGTATGAGCATCGCACATGCCGCGGCGGCCAGCAGTAATATGGGTGTCTGCGCAATGAAGACCGTTCTCCAACCCATTCTTTCGACCAAGAATCCACCTACAGGCCCTCCAAGCAAGCGACCCGAAGCCATAGCAGCTTGATTGTAGCTTCGATATGAAGCGAGATCCTTCAGACCAACAAGATCACTGATAATCAAATTTACCAGGCCGATGAGCCCAGATCCTCCTACTCCCGCCAGCACTCTGCCTATAATGAAGATTCGATGTCGCCGGAACTGCCTAGTCTCCGTTCAGAGCGTGCATATTATTATCCGGTAGAGCATCTCGGATAGATGATTATCAAAGTTTCTACACCGCATATCAGCCATGGAAAGCTTTTTACATAGTTCTGGAATCAATCAGCCACTGTGAGCATCTCAACTTAAGCGCAAGAGCCAGCTCTCATCCCAAGTCCGTAAGCCATGAAAAAGGTAAAGAGGTTGCCAAGACCATTTCCAGCTGCAACAGCCTGTTGCGGTAGGAGGCTTCGAAGGCGCAAGCAGATCTCAACGGCCGCATTGGCTGCAACAAGAGCAGTGCATTGGCGCATCACGTGCCGCGTTCCTGGCATCCGATCAACGCTGCACTCTTCTCGCTGTGAGCTTGTAGATCTGTACAGCGGTCTTGAAAACTGTGTTGTGTTGCGCAAAAGCCACAGCAATATCAGGATCCACAATCATTACAGATTCTGCGAGGCGGGCGATAGATCTCGCGCAATGGTATATTGTTGTTCTCAACCGTCTCTTCCTGCAACCACTGCGCCGACCTCCTTTCCATCTCCTTTTCAAGCCCAGCAGGCATTTCCAGTCAAAGACATCGATGTCTGAGCTCTTGGTACGCGATTATAGGGGATTGCTTTCTAAGCTGCAGTTACATTCGCGGATTCGAGTCTGTAGGATGTTGTAGGAGGCCTCGTGCGTATATCGTACAGGATGAACAAATGGTCGTAGAAGTGTACCAATGTGCAATAGCAGTGTAAGGTCCGCGGAGGTTCGTGTGGTGGCGATGATCAAATCTGCCTAGATAGGGAGGCCCATACATACTAGAGGCTCAATGCGGGGTTTCTTATACCTCTTACCGCTATTACTACCTAATTCTTCGTGTTTGACCTTCTACGACTCGCAATATACTCGCTATTAACTCGTAGAATGCCTCTACGTATCGATTTATCGCTATAGAAGGCTTAAATAATATCTTAAGTCTATAGCGGTACTATACGAGAAGCAATCGTATAGTACCTTATATAGGAGACCGGTTATTAGATATCCCTTAATACACTTAAACGAAGGCTTAAAGAGTAGAATATTAATTATAGCTACTCTACTTACTATTACCGAGTTAACGATATTAAGGTACTAAAGATCCGGATCGTATATACCTTCTACGTTCTACGGTTAACTAATAAAGAGGCGGTTCGAGTACTATAGGCGGATAGGTTTAAGATTAGCTAGCGGAGGTATTAACGGATACGTTAAGAGCTTAGATTAAAGAAGGCATTATTAATAGATAGATAGATAGAAGCGGAAGAATAGATAGTAGAGGTCTTATAGGAAGAGCTCGAGAAGTCTATAGTAGAGTCCTTTAGCCGACGGTACCTATATACCTATATTAGGTCTAAATATAACATTATTAGTAGAGATTAGCTATATCGTATAGCTTCCTTACTAAATTCTAAAGAGTTACGAGTCCGCTATAAGCGGGCGTAAAAGCACTATAGAGCGATTATTATACCCGGCCCTAGTTACGTAATATTAATAGATACTTACTATAAATTCGAGTATTAGGGGATATAGATCTACGTAGCGATTAATATTTACTCGCGTTATATTATCTAGATCTATATAGGCATTACTAGCCGGATAGCTGTCTCTATACTAGCTTAATACCTTACAACGATCCGGAATAGTAGTATAATGCTATAGATTATTCGATTAGACCGTAGGGTAGAGACGATTTACTAGGCATACGGTTATAGTACGAAGGTATCGTAACGGTTATACGGTACAAAAGTTAATACATTCTCTAAGGTGCCGCGAGGCAAGCTATCTATATAATAGTCCTACTATTAGTAGCAATAGCGACCGTAGCGGTCGATAGTAACCGCTGCCTACTATCGTATATGCAATAGTATTATATCGTAACAGCCTCCCTTTTTATAAAAAGGGTCGGCACTGTCTATAGTGTCCTAAAACAAAGGTCCTTAGTAGGCTATACTATAGGAAGGTTTAAGGCAAAAGAGCGTAATAGCGTCGTATAAAGGCTAAGCCTAAATAGTATACTAGAACAGTAATGCTAGGTACAGAATCGTATCTCTCTAGTAATAACTACGTCGGTTTTATACTTGCTTATTACGACGGTTACGAAGGGCGTCGTATAAGCTAGTTAGTATAGTCTAAACCGCCTTTAGCTGCGGCTAAGGCGCGACGGTCTTTATAGTCTTATTATCGGATAGCGAGGTATTAACTGCGTCCGCTATAGTAGTAGCGCGGTCTAACTAATCGATAGGGATATTAGGGAAGTTAGCATCTAGCAATAGTAGCGTATCGGCGTCGCGTATAGTACTATATAGCTTAAAGTAGTTAGCTATCTATACGTTAAGCTTCGCGATCTTATCCTTAGTAGTATTGCCTTATACGCCGCTAAGTAGCTTAAAAGCGTCCTCGTTAATTAGGTATAGTATAGGGATTGCCTATTATAGCGCGACGCGTAAGAAATCGTAGTAAAGATAGGTTAGCGATAGCGTAAGCGACTCCTTTAAGACTATAGCAGAAAGACGATACTACTAGGCTATCTAGCGCTTAGTTACTTCGCGGATCTGTACCTTAGCTAGTATTTGTTAAAGCTAGTATATCTCGGTTGCTACTAACTCGGACTAGCGCATATAGTAGAGAGCTTGTAAGTTAAGCGTACGTATACTAATTGCCGTTGCATTGTATTAGTATTATCTATAGGCGCTTATAGTATTTTCCTATAGGGCGGGCAAAGGTAGCAAGCGTATCGGAAGCGATAGGAGCTTATACTATAACGACGCAACCGTATTGTTAGGCGATAGTAGCTAAGCCGTAGCTAGAGCCTTCGTAGGTATAGAGAATAGGTTAGATAGTAGCGGCATCTTCGATAGTAGGCGAGGCGCTAAGAACAGGCTAGCGGTTAGCTTCTAGTAAGTGTTTAACTTAGTCGATAGTAATACGCGCGAGGAATTTAGCTAGATCGCCTTAGTTAGCGGGGCAACGGCCGGAGGTTGCGGCTTAGCCCGAGTCGCGAGCTTAGGAGGGATAATTTTACTAAAAAGGCGCGCGTTAGTAAGGTCGGTCTCGTCTAGCGAGTAGTCGGGTAACGGCACTAGGAATGCGCCTATAGGATCCTAAGTATAGTCGATATTATACTACTAGTAATTCTTATTCGTTACTATCTTATCGTACTTAAAAATAGTATTACCCTATATAATACGCTCCTAGACGCCTAAAGGATTAAAGACTAGATTAGTAGAGGCTATTTTTAGCAAATTGTAGAACTATAGCGTTAGCGCGGGCTCTAATCTATTAGGGATAGCGCCGTCCTTAAGTGTCTAGATATAGGCGATAAAGGTAGATAAGGCGTATACCGGATCGATCTAAGTTAGCTAGTAGACTAGGCTAAAGTCTACTAGGTATTAATAGTTAAGGAGTAGTAGAGGTATGCCTTTGCCCTTATTAGCGGCATAGGTACCGTTCTAGTAGCGACCGCTACCTATAAGCTAAGCGTACTATTCCGTACGCGACGTATTAGTAGCCTTCGTGTCCGTAAGCGCCTTATTAGTATAGAGGGCAGATATATAGCCCTCGCCGCGAAGGGTATAGGCGTTACGGACCGTAATATACCGCTAGGTATAAGCGACGACGTCCTAGGTAATAGCTAGGCGACCTAGGTTACGACGGTATAGGTAGGGCAGGCTACTAGAGTTTAGGGAGGACTCGTACTACTTATAGAGCTATATAGCCGACTAAGTACTAAGCTCTATACCGATTAGTAGCAGCTAAACGGTATAGTCCTTAAGCTAGGAGTCTAGTAGAGGCAGGCGCACTATTAAGAGTCGTCCGGTAGCTACTATCTATAAGAATTAGACTTCGCCGTAGGTAGTTAGGTCGATCTTATAATGCTTTATCGCTCCGATGTATTTACTAATAGGTCGCTTGCCTGTCTTTTAATATTCCTTACCGTAATCGCGGTAGGAGACATCCTTATTGTTCTCGCTACGCTTATATAGAACCGGGTAACCGCCTACTATAATGCTATCGCGATATTCTTTTAGGATAAAGCGGTAGAACTACTCTTATACGAGGTCGACCGTCTATAGGAAGTATAAGATAGCGCGTACTATAAGACCGATAGCTCTATTACGGATTAGAGACGGTACTAGCTAGAATCGTAGGTCGCCGGTATAGGTACTTAAGCTAAGGAAGTTCTCGCGTAAGCGAGTAATGTTTGCTAGGAGTCGGTACTATAACTTCGCGTAGTAGAAAGTAATAGTTAGTAGAAAATTCGTATCGAGGTTAGCTAGGTTAGGAAGCTCCTTTAATTTGCCCGCCGTTATAAGCGCTACGTACTCGCTAAAGCGTATCGCGTAAATCTCCTACTACGTATCGTAACCGTCTAAGTAGAGGTCGGTCCTAAAGATAGAGTATTTATAGGCGAGATTATTATTTACAATTTAGAAAAAGTATAGTTACGTAAAGAGTAGGTTTTTAAAATCGGTAACTAGCTTGCCTATATACTAATGCAATTCGCGTAGAATCTAGAAGCGCCGATCGCTAGCTATAAGGTATAGATAATGTAGGTAATGCTAAAGCCTTACTAAATAGTATTCGACTATTCGCTTATATAGGCGTAGGCGAAAAAGATTAGGTAGCCGACCGTTAGCGTCCTTAGCGTACGCGTTACGTACAAGCTTCGCGGCCTAGATAAAGCGTACGTCTCTATTCTTATTACGCTCTATAGGATTAGCGGCGATTAGCGTATCGACTTTCTTATTATAGTTCTCGTACTCTACGTACTACCG